TGGTGGTAATCTGGTAAATAACCAAAACCAAACTCAACTAGGATTCCTTCAAAACAGAAACCAAGTCTGCCCAGGAAACCTCGATGAGTCAACTCATGACTGCATATGAGTCGACTCATAAACTGATGAGTCGACCGAGCAGAAACTTTTGACAAGACGGTTGGGTTTCGTGAGTCGACTCATGACAGGCATGAGTCGACTCAACCTGATGAGTCGACTCAACCTGATGAGTCGACTCATGTACATGTATGAGTCGACTCACGAGCTGAAATCTGGATTCTTCGAATCTGCTGATCGTCGTCTCGTTCCACGCTTCCACCTGTGCTTCGTCATGTCGCTTCACACCACTATTCTCAAGATATCATGAGAATCACATATCCTCAAGATATCATGAGAATCACCTATCCTCAAGCTCCCATGAGGATTGCTTTTCCGAAGAGAAGATACACCCGTATCATTTCTACTACGGGCTGCACGTTAATCAAAATTGAGAAAATTTTTTAGAATATAAAAATTAAAACTAGTGCCAAAAATAATAAATATATACAATATTTTTTACCTATCCCAAACCAATCTTGTGTGAACAACGATCTGACTGAATGTATAATATGTTAGCCTGCATCGGTCCCGGATCTATAATGGATATCTACAATATTTTTTCAGTTGAATGACTTAATCATACGTATTCAATATTAAGTAAAGCATACATCCAACATAGAAAAGAAAAATAAGAATAGAACATGCATAACGATTGTCACATATTCAAGATTAAAAATAAAAGGTTATATTTACAAAAATCATATGCTATAAATTCCATACAATTATGCCTCAAATAATCAACGCCTAAGCCAAGTTAGACAACTGCTTTTGTTGTGGCCCGGTTGATCGCACCTACTACACTTCTTTTTCCTCTTAATTCCATCTTGACCATCATCCAAATTATTTCTAATTCATACGGAACTAGGTCGCCCAACTGATCTTTTTTACATAGGAGGTAATATATGTGGCCTGCATTGTGTCTAATGTTGACTATCGTATGGTGGATGAAAACACTCTTTATACATTTGTTGGTAGTTATAAGTTGAATACCAATATGTGGCAAATGTATAATGTGATATCCTCGTACCCCCTGTAGATCTGAACAAGTCACTACAACATGGGAACAAGGAAGCTATTGTAATTGTGGTATATTGCAAGTGCATGTACAAGTTTGATCCACTAGCATATTAACTTTGTAAGATCGATTTTCTCTATATGATATTCCCTCAATGACCTCCCATACATTAAAATTATATCTAACGACACAAAATGATCAATCCTGCACAATCTGATTCGCTAATATGCCTTCAACTTTCGGTGTCAACTCCGACGGGATATTTGCTCCAAATGTGCGTCATCTAAGGAAGAATTTATTAAGTTTGTAAAATATTTTTGCAACGAATGACTGTATTGACATATCACATGCTCCTCTAAGCACACCATTGAAACTCTCAGAAGCGTTAGGTCATCATACAAAACTATTTTCTGCCATCTTCACATAAGGCCCACCCATCGACATTGTCTAGACCCAAACTAGTATCGATCTAATCATGTGCAACTTATGAAATGGACTTAATCTTCTCTCATAGTTGCTCATAAACTAATTTTTCCGTTGCACATCTAGCTTGTCAAATAAGTTCTTGAAGATGCACTTGGTCATGCTTCCTGTTGAACTTGTCTCTAATATGTGCAAGCAATAGCGAAGTTGATGCAGCGACGGAAAATGTCATTGGAGTGCTAGTGGAATTACTTTCATCCTATCATATATGAATGTAATCAACCGTGTTCGCACACTAGGGATATGATATCTAATGCATGCAAAAAATCATGCTCAATTTTTCGGGATTTCAACATCAACCCTGCAAAGGCCAAAGAAAATAAACCGCTATATGCGTCTATTCTGGTTGCAATAAGCAAAACGCCTTTATATTTACCGTACAAATGGGTGTCGTCAATGATAAGAATAGGACGACAATATCTGAATGCCTCAATGCAAGGCCTAAATGCCCAAAATACCCATGTGAATCATCTATCTCCGCCGTCAACAAGATCCGATGATACTTCGTACACTGTCCCCAAATTTCCTTTTTTGAGTGCTTTAAGATAATGTGGTAAGATCTTATAAGATTTGTCCTAATCTCTGAATATTTTTATCATCGTCTTCCTCTGAGCATTCTAACACTTGTTGTATGATATATCCAAGTTGATCGCTTTATGCACTAAAATACGAATATCCTTTGACCTTAGATCAAGATCATCCCTTAGTTTAGACATAATCAATCGATATATCAAAGAGGTGGACGCATGTTTATGATTCATCTCTAATCGATGATTGTTATATGTGTAAAGTCAGTTATAGTGTGTTATTTTAAATCGCCAACCTACTCTTACAGCCAAGCGTGAATTAAGCTTCCAAGGACATTTTATATTTCCATCATGGTGTCCACCACTATCTTCTTCCTCACAATCTTTGCAGCAAAACAAACTACATTATAGCTTGTTGCATTGCTTTTCGTCTGCCTAAACTTGATATTTTTTGATGGCCCATAAATGAAGTGTATGAATCAATTTCTCATTGCTTTAAAATAGATCGCCCTTTCTGAATGAGAAGTCATCGCCTTATGTATCATCATTTAAATTGGTGCCAATAGAAATACTTTCCATTGTGAAGTCATCAACCCATTCTTCTCCATGAAGTTCATCGGGAGACGGATCCTCTAATACGACATACTTATTGTTAGAATAACATCGGTCAATATATTGGTTGTCCTCTTCATCTATAAAAAATGCCATGCTATTAAGTTCTAAGCCATCTTGTGCATCATCATCCTCGGATTCAACACTTGCATTATTATCTTCTATCGTCACTCTTGTGAAAGACATTATATCTTGATGGGGAGCGTTATCACTGAAGGCATTTTGAAGTGCCTACAAGCGAAGGACCGCTCAAGTATTGTGACTGTGTCCATCCCATATCCTATTGTGGAGACAAAAAGCCGGTGGAGTCAACTTCAAGATCCTTCAACATGCGAGATTATACTCCATTGTGATTCACCGATTTGCCAAATTTCTATGATGGCTTTTAATAAATAATTCCACTGAACGCTTCTCATCATACAATATTCCAATGAGACCTATATCACAGTCTCTTAAGATTTGAATGCTGCATGTTCTTTCCCCATAACAGGATAATTGCAAATCATATTGAGGTGATACACACGTGGATTGGTTAATGTAAGTTTGTGTAAATCATTAACCAATCCATCGAAAGTACATGCTTTTGATATAAACAACGGTTTCGTCACACCTCCTTCATATACAAACATATTATTCTCGAGATAGTTAATCTTCCCATTATATGAATAAAGAATTACGATTCGATCGTTCATCGTTACCTCTGAAGACTAAAAATTCCAATATTAATATTACACAAAAAACGCAAAAAATATTATTTACAATTAAATTCTCTTATATCGATTATACACATCCATAAATTTTACCAAATGTCAAACCTTTATTATTTTAAGATTGCCTAATTTAAATAATATTCACTTTTTAAATTTGAAAAATAATACACCATTTTTTTTACAATTTCCCCTCTAACTTCATATACAATTTCTTTATTTTTTTCACAAAATTCATAAGTATTTCGAAAATTATTTCAAAAACTAAATTTAAACAAGTTATTAGCATGAAATAGTGAGAATATGTACATTTAGGAGAAAAAATAAAAAATTTAAAGATTTTACTAAAAATTTATCGATGCCCTAAATTTGATATCTAACAAGCTCTGGTGAACTCCGGCGTTTTTTCAGCCCTAAAAGAGGACGACAGTGACGACGACGACGGGAGTGAAGACAGCGGCGGGACGCGGACGACGGCGGCCTGGGGGGGCACGCTGACGGGAGTGAAGACAGCCGACGGCCCCACTGCGGCTCGACAGCGCGCCTGGGGCACGCGGTAGTGATCTAGGGTTGTGGGGAGTAGAGAGGAGAGAGAAGAGAGAGAGAGAGTGGAGGAGGAGTAAAGATAGAGAGAGAGAGAGAGAGAGAGAGAGGAGAGAGAGGACGAGAGAATGGAGTGAGGAGAGATGAGGAGAACGAGTGGGGATAGAAACGTGAAACGAGATCACATGAGGGAAAGTTAAATACTAATCTGCGGGATAGGCCTACTGCAACTCCACAGGAATTCAAATCCCGTGAAGTTGCAGGTCCAATTGCCAGAGAGCCATCGCTCTCTGGAGCTGGCGCCTGCAACGTCACGGGGGTATGAAATCCCGTGAAGTTTCGCCTTCATGGGATTTCAAAGCCCGTGAAGATGTAGCTTCTCATTTACCCCCACTAACCAATGCTTTAATTAGGCCTTAAATTTCATGGAATTTTAAATTTCCTGAAGCTTTTAATATTTTTTATTATTTTCGACCTAGTTTCAGCCAGTTGGCTGAAACTGAGTCAAAAATGACAAATATTTTCAAAAGGAGTCGTTTTTTAAAAATAAGTTGCTAAATGGTCTATTTTCAAAATTTGTGCTATAGGATTTGCTAAGGGGCTGTTTGTTTCACCATTTTTATGGAAAAAGAATAGGATTTGGGTCTGACAATGAGAAAATTGTAAATAAAGGATTCTTTATGAATCCTATTTTTGAGTTTGGTCCCCTAAAAATTTATAGATTTCGGAATTTATAAAGTTGAAAAAATATGCTGATTTTATAGAAACCCAAATCTGATTTGGGCGGATTTGGAACAGAAAACTGATGTATTTGTACTATTCTCCCTCTTTTTTTTCGGATTCTATTTCTTCACAAACCTAATATTATTATGAGAGACCAAATCTCATTCTCATTTCAAACCAAACTAAAGAATAGGAATCAGAGGTTTCTATAAGGTTGGATTCTATTTTTCTATGATATGAAACAAACATATAAAAAAAAAAGAAAATTCCATACCAACACAAAAATATGGATTCCATAAAAAATGGATTCCTAATGATATTCTTCTTGAACCAAACACCCCCTAAAATCCCATCTTTCTTCTTCTTCTTCTTTCTCTCGTCAAAGAAGCAAAACGGGCAGCGGCATGACGGCAGTGGCGGGGATCGACGACGGAACAATGCGCTCCATGGCCATCGGTGCCGTATTTACCGACTACGTGAGTCAATTCCTCGACTTTCACTTTTCTTTTTAGTCTCGCTTGAATTTAGGCTTTATTGTTGATTAATAGGAAATTAGGTTTAATGGCGCATTGTGAAGTTTTTAGGTTAAGGGAGTGATTATACGAGAATATAACTGATATAGAGACTAAAACTTGAAGGGGCTTGTGAGCTACTGATGCTTGCGTTTCCCTTTAATTTGGAATTCTTTTTCCCCCTTCTGTGCCCGGGGAACCTAAACCCTAATGGACTTGTATAATCTGCTCATGACAGCAGAATAATATATAATTCTGGATGCCTATTTTTTTCCTAGGGACGTGGGGGAAGTAAACATAGGCCATCGAGATAAAGTCTAAATTTGGATTAAGTGTCCAAAGCAGTGTTGAAGTCTGCAAATTTTCATTTCTCTTATAATTTATTGTTAAGTTACATTTTTTTTCCTGGCTTTCGTGTCATTTACTTTGGTGTATGCTGAGCTCTTTTAAATCTCTTGCTCTTAATTTTCAGGCAGGCAAGATAACTTGTCTTGATTTTCATCGCACGGATGATTTGTTGGTCACTGCAAGTGAAGATGATTCCGTGCGCCTTTATGATATTGCAAATGCCAAGTGTGTATGCTCTCCTCTTTATTCTTGCGTATAGTGCTCATGTTCTTAGTTAATCGTACTTTTACGTAGTAGAACAGACTTTAATTTGCTGTTCCTTATTTTTTTGAGCTTGCAATTATAGATCTACAGCGCGTTGAAATATCTAAGTTAATGTTACATTTTTGTGCCTTAAAATGTCTTAAAACTTTCAGGCTGTTAGCCTGCTTGTACCTTCCTGGGAAGTTGACTGGTGTAACATGTCACATTTTTCTGGCAATTACGAAGTTCTGGTTCAATATCTATCTGTTAACAATTATATTGTTTGATATACACTGCTTACCCGCAACCCTACAATTTGCAACCTTAAGAACCATAATTTCAGGATGCTCATCATGAAACACTATATGTTATTGGACGATCACTTTAGAGCTAAGACATCATTAAATCACTTTGTCGAAAAGTTTAGACTAATGTAATGAGGTTTAACAGTTTATACCAAGATAAATAAAACTTAGCGCTTCCATATATTCTGAAGGTTTGGGTAAATAAACAAGTTCTTATAGGATTTGAGATTCGAACCCAAGATCTTCTGAAACCTACCGTGTGGTTATTCTGCCAAGAAACCACTTTAATCAAACTATGGTGATGGTTTCCCAGTTTTTGTTAATGTTTTAGCTCTAGACTTTCTCATAACAGTACTTAGTTTTGAACTGTTGTACCTCTAGGTTATTGAAGATGACATATCACAAGAAACATGGTGTGGATCGTATATGCTTCACCCATCATCCAAGTTCCATTATATGTTCTTCAAGGTACAATTTGGAGTCAGCAGGTGTGTCTCCGTCTTAACTAATACTTTTCCTATTCAATGAACTGTTACTTGTAACTTTCAATATAACTTTCAAGCTTTATTCTGTTCCTTCAACAGAATCCTTACGCTATATTTCTATGTATGATAATCGATGCCTCCGCTACTTCAAGGGGCACAAAGAAAGGTAAAATTTCTGCTTGTTATTAAAACTGTTGTAACTACTATCAATGACATTTTTGCTTGTTTGCTGGTTATTTTAGCATCTATTGTTGCTTGTTTGCTTATGTATAACTAATGCATTTTTGTAGAATTGTCTCGCTCTGTATGTCTCCTATCAATGACAGCTTTATGTCAGGTTCACTTGACCATAGTGTGAGGATATGGGATCTTCGTGTAAATGCTTGTCAGGTTGGAGTTTCTGCTTCTTAATGTCCTGTTTGAAAGTAGGGATACATTTTGCAATAATTAGCATTGTAAGGATTTTTTTGGGAGTCCAACATGAAATTTTAACCTTGCTAATCAGAATTTCTGATTCCGATTCATGCTTACTTTTCTAGTCTTCAGGGTATTCTGCATTTGCGTGGTAGGCCTTCTGTTGCATATGATCAACAAGGCCTTGTTTTTGCTGTGGCAATGGAAGGTGGTGCTATCAAGTTGTTTGATTCTCGCTCATATGACAAGGTCTACATTGAGAGTTCAGAAACTTTTTCTTTTTTTAATTGTTGGGGCTTACCTGATGGACTTAACCTGTATCTTAAAATCACAGGGTCCATTTGACACATTTTTGGTTGGTGGAGATACAGCTGAGGTCTACGATATCAAATTCAGTAATGATGGGAAGTCCATGCTTTTAACAACAAAGAATAACAATATCTATGTATTGGATGCTTATGGTGGAGACAAGGTTAGTCTACCAAGAGATTGGTAACAAGTAAAACATGAAGTTCCTTGAGCTGTGATGTGAAACCTGCAGATTTGACCTTGAAGCGTAGTTCCATGTGCATAATGCATGTCACATTTAAACCTTGGCATGTTAGCTCATGATACTTCTTGTTTTAAAAACCTTATAGGCAGGTGTTCTCAAGTACCTATCTGACATGTTAACGTGTTCTATATGTAACCTTCTCGGTCATAATTCGAAATGACTGTCATACTTTCAAGTTTCAACCTTTTGGTGGGAGTTAGTGTCCTTTTTCATTATCATGGTTTATCAGAACCCTTCTCCTTCCTTATGGATCTATCATCCATGTTTTATTAGTTCCATGTTTTGTTCTTTATCTTGAACACAAATATGAGCTTTTTGAGGCCATTTATGTGACTTTTGTGTTCCCAGTAAGGCAGTCTCTTTCACTCTTTTACATATTAGATGTAGCACTTATCCGCCAAGTAACATCCAGATTGTTCTGTTGACCACAACTTGAGATCAATTTTAAATATCCCTGTTTTCTAAATTATCTACATACTGCATTCAACGTTGCTCTTAAATTGGCCATGCAAACAACAGAATTATTATTTCACCAGCAATTGCAGGTTCATTTGATGTTTTATATCTAATTTTTATTGTGTATCTGGTCATTTCCAGACAATCCTTTGCATTGATAGTATTCTTTCAAGTGGCGTGATACAACAGAAACCTGTGTTAGATGATATTCAATACTTTCTGTTCTTGTATGTAGCGCTGTGGATTTAGTCTAGAACCATCTCCCAATTTATCAACCGAGGCTACTTTTACTCCAGATGGGCAATACGTGGTGTCAGGTAAAATCATATATTTTTATAATGCTGGTGTTTTTGCATGTTAAATTGTTATGCTGCATCCTTTTCTTTTGTGAACAAAATGTTAGATTGTCTTACATTGAGATGATTAATACTTGTCAAATATTAGTTTTCCATCATTGAAATCCACATTTTAGCTAATTATTGCACTTACTTGTATCCATCCAAAATGATGCTCATAACAACTTATTATATATTTATATATATACCAGTTAACACAATGGTTATGAAATTGATATTTTGGATGAGATGATGAACTTAAGGTATTCAGTGTTGAAAATTAGAACTTGATCATGGGCCAATTTAGTGTGTCTCAGTAACCAGAATTACCAAGTTTATCTCGCCATGCATATGGTTGAAAGTTGAAGATTGGAGAAGGGGCATCAAATCTAATTTGCATTTGCTTAGGTGCAAAAATTCTACACATGATCTGACATGGAAACTGATAAAAGACAGTGATATAAGTGAAAACCAAGTGTGCAAGAAGGGCATGTATAGATCAGCACTATAATATTTCATATGAAACATAAATCTTCCTAGTCCTACAGTTTTGTTTCCAGCTAATGGGATTTGCCACAAACCTGTGCCACGTGGATGTCTAATAAGCATAAAAACTTGTGAGATAATACAACTATTATTATTAGTAACTTAATATTATTGCTTTTTTTTTGGTGGAGGACATTGTTGTGCTGAATTAAAAATATTATTTCTCTTTTGGTTAAATATGTTAATAGCATCCTAGAAATTAACTGAGTAGTAAACAATATTCACTTTAACCTTAGAGAACTTTATTAAAGTAAATATATAATTCTAGAAATATGAATTCCAGTCACTTCAATATATTAGACAGAGTAACTTTTCATAACATATAGACTGATGAGTCCTATATTCTTTTGCATATTATTTCAACATTTTTCATTCAAAAGTTTCTCTCTTTGACCAAATTAGCAAGTTTCACCAGGTCTTAGGTTTAAACCTCATCATTATTGAAATTTACATATTATTGCCCCCTGTTTATTCTGACTGTCCTATCAAAGCTAAATAAGCTTCCTATTTTGCATAAGTGGTACGTAACAAGTACCAGTGGGTTTCTCAGCTATTCTTTGTCATGTTGCACCGTGCATAGTTGAACACTGTAGATTGTCATTATCACCAGTATAGTAGCTATTATACTACATAATTGTAGTGTGGCTGCATTTTACTAAAGCCTGAACACAATATGTGAATAGAAGGTCTGGAGTCACAGATGTCCATAGTGTTCTGGTCAGATCTGCTTACGTTCCATTATGTTCATTCTGCCCGTGTTTTTATGCTCGTTAGCTGCATGTTGCTAAAAATTCTGTTCATTCTTTTTTATCTTACTATGAAACCAAATGCATAAGTGTGCTTTTTTGGAATGGTTTCTACATTCAGCTGCCATTTTCCTCATTTTTACTGTTTGCAATCTGAAGTGTAAGATTAGGATATTATATCTATGTATATCTTGCAGGTTCCGGGGATGGAACCTTACATGCTTGGAATATCAACATGCGGAATGAGGTATGTATCATAAAATTAATTTTACTTCCACTTGAAGAGAAACAATGTCTTTATTCATTGCTGTCAGCAAAGTTAACAACTGCATTTGCAGACTAGTGAAATATCTTTAAACTCACTGACATTAAGAGTGCCTATATCTATTGTTGTGGACTAAACTGTTTGGCTCCTTTATTGTTTTATTATGACATTAAGAGTGCCTATATCTATTGTTGTGGACTAAACTGTTTGGCTCCTTTATTGTTTTATTATAACGCAAGTACATGAGCACACACAGATTCTTTCCAATTTGCCTCTTCTTAAATTGAAAAGCAAGTGCTGCCTGAAGTAGATTTAAATTGCAAGGTTATTGATAGCGGATAGCGTCGCGTAGCGGTGAGGTATTGCTAAGGCTATTTCGGGCTAGTACGGCAAAATAGCGGTAAAAAACACAAAGTCAAATAACGGTCTAATTTAGATATGTATAAATAATAAAAAAGGAAATTAAAGAAAAATCTAAAAAATCTAAAAGTACATATTAGATGATTTAAAGAGATCCTAAACATGAAATAGACATGTAACCATCACATAATACCGAAGATGACTGGAAGAGTCAAAAAGTCGTCGCCTTCAAGAAGAAGAGCTTAGCGGTGACAGGACTGCCCTAAGAGGAGCTCACAGTGAAGGAGGTGAGAGGAAGTATCAAGGTAGGTGTCAGAGGCTATGAGAGGTGGCAGGAGTATGCTAAAAATCACAGGAGACGGTGGAATGCAATGGTCAAGTGTCAGAGGCTATGAGAGGTGGCAGGAGTATGCTAAAAATCACAGGAGACGGTGGAATGCAATGGTCAAGGGTTGAGTTTAATTTAAAAAAAATAAGCCTCAAACCGCTTTTAAATAGCAGTCAAAAAGCAAATTTTGAATGCAATCGCTCACTATTTACTGTTATGACACACTATTTGGCTGCTTTTGCGAACAAACATATTCCGTAATATGTCACCGCTATTGCGCGATAGCGTAGCGGGTGATAGCGTCGCGGGAAGGGACCGCTAACGCTATTAGCGCCGCTATTGCGGGGCTATTTACCGCTATTTATAACAGTGTTAAATTGATTGTTGTGATTATTATTATCGGTACATACTGATTATTATTATCGGTACAGTATGAGGAAAGATACACTGAGCTACCGTGTAATGTTTCTTCCAACACCAAATGGTGTATTGTGACGTGTTTTATTATAATAACAAATTTCAATTGAACTTATATTGGTAATGAAAACTTCAGGAAGTTTAAAGAAAATCCTCTCAATTAAAAAAAAAAAAAACTAACAATAGTAGAAGTAATATGATAACCATATTTAGTGAATATCACTGACGTACCAATTTTCCATGTCACAACATAAATAAAATTTCTCTATATAAGCGAGGAAGTCGCTTAAAACAAATCTAATTCTGCAGCAAACTCAAATTTGTTATCGTGTAGACATGTCTTCATGAGTCTAGAGGCAAATGCCACCTTCACCATACTTTGTTTATGCAGGTTGCCTCTTGGAACAGTCATATTGGTGCTGTAACCTGCTTAAAATGGGCCCCACGTCGATCCATGTTTGCCGCTGCCTCCACAGCACTTGCATTTTGGATACCCAATCCATCAAAATTGAATGAGGCGGCGCCAGCTGCCAAAGCTAATCCTGCACAATGACTAAAGTTCACCTATCCTATCCTCTTTCAGTTTTATCTGCTTAAAGAAAGGTACGGTTTGAAACATACAACCAGCAGGTTTTAATATTGTTTTGGTAGCCTCGGGGATTGGTAGGGTGTTGGTTACATAGTTTTAGTAAGCTACTTGTACTGATCTCTTTATTTATTCGTCTTAACTATTTGGCTTTTGTTCACGGTTATGCCCACTTATTCGTGGCCTACAAATTATCTATTTGGTTATGCCACAGGAATATACTAGAATTAGGAACCTGATGAGTAAGCAAATAGAAGATATAGAAGAGAGTATTCATATTAGATTTTTGTGGTTAATAACTTAGGTTTTTGGGTTGATGATTAGGTACTATTTAATTTGTTTTTGATAAATATTTTCCATTTTTAGATGTTTAGACTTGATTTTGCATCCATTTTTTTTTCTCGTAATTTCATTATCCGACTCTAATAGATATTTCTGCGGCTGTTGGCAGCGGATAGGTTGGGTTGTTCAATTCAGAAATATCGTTTTCAATAAGTGTATTGCTCTTTCAACTTCGCTGTGATTAGCTTCTGATTTGAATGTAAATCCATACATGAATAAGAACCAGATCTTGTTCCGTCTTTCTGTTTTGTTTTCCCTGATATTTCACCAGAAACAATCTCTAACTTTAATTTATTACCTCCAGCTAAACACCTTTACTAAATCCCCTACATCAATCACAAAACCGGGTCAGTAAAATCCTAATTTGAAGTCCGAACCCAATATCAGTGGAGATAAGTAGTGGAGATAAGTTCAGACTTCAGACCTTCATTTCCTCCTTGAGCCCATCCTAAACTAATGTTGGTTGTTTGTCTAATGACTCTGATCTAGCACATGATTCTACAGCGACCCTTTACCTGCTGTTGTTGATCACCTTTCCTCATCTTTATAACCTTAATCCGCCACCACAGTAAAAAGAATTTCTACACATTATATCATCCCAAGGTTCATTCAACGAAACCCTGAAACTTTGTAAACTGAGAGATCCGATACAAAGAAATAAGTATCTAATTTGTCCTGTATTAGATTTGACATTAGAGTGAATTCCGATCCAAACATCCAACTTGATATTGATAGAAACAGATTATTCAAAAGTGGGATTCCTTTGCTACAAGGTTCTCTGGCTCCAACTGCACTTGGACACTGATTCAAGCAAGGATCTCTTAATCTAGTCAAACTCTCAAAACAGCCACCTCACTCTGATATCAATGGGATTTGTCATGTCCTCTACAAGTGGCTAATTTAACTCTGCCTGGACTTCCAACCAGCAGTTGTAGGGGGTTGAAAAATTGTCATTGCTTCTGCCTTCAAGCTGAGGCAGTTCTCACTTACTGAGATACTAAACACATGACAAGTTCTTTGTATACATAGCTTGCTTATAAGATTAATGCAACTCATAAGGTCAAGTGCACCCTAGGCTGTGTTAATAATTACACACTGGTATTTCAAGAACTATTTGGATCTTTTTGAACCACATTGTCATCTAAATCCATCGGAAGATCATTCTGGAGAGACTTGATGAAGAGTAACAACATAGTAGAAAATATAAAGAGAAATTTATATTAGATTCAATATCTACGTTTTTAGTTCTTGAGTTAATAATTAGGTAGTAGTTTTATTTTAGTTTGAAATTTAACTGAGGAGATGACCCAAAATAGAAGTAAATGGAAGAATATGATTCATGTACCCAAAATTTAGGAATAAAGCTTTGTTGTTGTTGCATTGCAATTTAAGATTTTTCTGTATTTTTGATGTCTATGTAGAGTCTGTTTTTGTCACTACCCCAATTTTCGAACCTAAAAGGAATATTGGAGTTGGACTAAACCTGTGAAAATATCCTCTTAAGAATCTACATTCATCAAAAGACCATCAAAACAATCTCATCATTGAATTAAAACCAACAACAAAGTATTCTCCATAATCCAAAAGTCAATATTAATCCAATTAACTTGAGATAAACAAATATTTCTCAACATGAAATAAAACTCAATCTAAAGGTAAATATTCCAATACTACAAAGCTTCCAATTATAAACTACATATCGAAAGACTTTATTCAACTTTAGCAATATGCAAGTTTTATTCCTTGCTCCCTTCTAATAACTTAGGAACCACCAACTCCATCTAATCCTGAGTCTTTTTGGATGAATATAACACAATGAGTTCACAACTCAATAAATGGATATATTCATACATTGAACACATGGTTTTGCAAAAAACTCAAATATTTCGACAAATGATAAGCAAAATATAAAAATAATATAGAATTATCAATGAACTCTAGTACTTGATGCAAATATTTAAAAACTTAAAAAACATGAATTGGAAATAAGCAAGTCACGTCTTAATGTGATCAACACTTCATACTCCGGTTGACTCGATAAACCCTACAATTATTAAGCCCATGGTTTCGGGACGGTGAGACCCAAATTTGGGTTCTTAGCGCCAAAATAAAACCTCATAGAGGCACATTGAGCCATGTTTTGATAATTTGCTTATCTTCGACATATACTAGCATATTGACTTGAGATGCATATGTTTTAAGAAAAAATGAACAAAATTCATATAGCTAAATAATTTATAAAGAATTGCCAAAGGCCAATCAATAGTGAAATTAATCAATCACATATGTATCTCAACTTACTACTATATGATAAGACATGATTGTCAACAAAGAAATTGTTAGAATTAATATAAAACTATAATCCTTGATCCTCATCATAACTTTGAAGTTTTGGTGTAATGGTTAGAGGAACTAAATTTAAGATGGTATCAGAGCAACCCAGGTTCAAATCCCACCGGCCACGAATTAAATGCGGATTTTCTAAAAATTGACACCGCTACGTGAGTCCAGGTTTCGACCCATAAAAAAGGGCGCTCGACCTGCGGGTGCATGTTAGAATTAATATAAAACTATAATCCTTGATCCTCATCATAACTTCGAAGTTTTGGTGTAATGGTTAGAGGAACTAAATTTAAGAATTATTATTTCAGTGTCCAACCTTGTTCAAAATGTAATTTTTTCGAGTGCCATTTTCTTTACTTTTTTTTGTGTGGTTTCTCTAGATTATGTTCATGCAACTAGAGAAGCTCCTTGGATCATTCACTCCTCTTGAGAGAACCGATCCATGAAGTTGTTTCTGTTCCTTGCAATTACATTTCTTCTCTGATTGATTATTTTGCTTAGGAATGGAGCCTCCACTTAAGGGTGTCATCAAGGATGTCAAAGGAAGGGCACAGTGCTACAAGCGAGATTGGGTTGGAGGAATTTGTTCAGGTTTCAGGTATACCCATCAGATCATGTATGTGATTCTTTCTACAGCTTGCTCACTGGTTCTTGTTCTTCAATGCTAGGATACTGGCTCCCACTCTGTACATTTTTTTCGCTTCTGCACTTCCTGTAATTGCTTTTGGAGAGCAACTAAACAAAGATACTGGTCAGTGTTCTACTAATGAAATGCATGTGGAAATTTTGAGTTAGCCCTGTTTCCATTAAAGATTTGTGAGTTTTCTTTGTCAATTTGTGCTAGATGGATTATTGAGCACCGTGGACACTTTAGCTTCTACTGCTATATGTGGCATCATACATTCTATACTTGGTGGACAGCCAATGTTGATATTGGGAGTTGCCGAACCCACAGTGATAATGTATTCATACATGTATCATTTTGCCAAAGGGCAGGCAGGTCTTGGCACGCAGTTGTTTTTGGCTTGGACTGCATGGTATAGTTCTATCAACTGGAAACCATGTTTTTCTTTAATGTCTTTTTGTAGTTTGAGGGTTTTGAATTTGCTCGTATCTGTCTTTTGCAGGGTTTGGATCTGGACAGCTCTCATGCTGATCCTTCTTGCAGTATTCAATGCTTCTTCTATACTTGGAAGATTTACTAGGATAGCTGAAGAGCTTTTCGGGATGTTGATCACAGTACTTTTCATCCAACAGGCTATTAAGGTGCGTATATAATTCAAACATAACATGGAAAGCATGGATGCAGGGTGGAACCTAATTTGTTTACTATTTACCAATTTTGAATCTTTTATATCTTATCACAGGGAGTAGTTGGCGAATTTACTATTCCTAAAGGTGAGAATGAGGCTCTACCGGTTTATCAGTTCGCGTGGCGATACATAAATGGATTATTAGGGGTCATATTCTCTGCTGGAGTGGTGTTCACATCTCTGAAGAGCAGAAGGGCAAGATCATGGGCATATGGAACAGGTTTCTTGCATAACCTAAGATTTTCAATTCCTAACTTTATGTGGTACTAATGTTTGATAATTAATTAATTACTAATTGCTAATGAATTCAGGTTGGTCTAGAAGTTTGATTGCAGACTATGGGGTCCCTCTTATGGTTATGGCGTGGACAGCATTGTCATATGCAGTCCCAGAAAGCATTCCTTCTGGAGTTCCTCGGAGGCTTTATAGTCCACTTCCTTGGGACAGCAAATCCTTGCAGCATTGGAGCGTTGCAAAGGTAATACGTTTTCCAGAATCACTCACTTGTCATTTGTCATTAGCTGTCAATTCAATTACTTATTTAATTACATATTGTGTCTTATTTCCATTCTTCAGAATGTGGGGAAAGGCATTTATTCTATCAATTTTCTTTCATCTAAATACACTGTAGCGCATCCCGGGGCCCGCGAACCCTTTGGGGCTGTGTAAGCTGTGGGACCACTGAGTTGCCAAAATGTGCTAGCACTAGTTGCTCTTGAGCCCTTTGACTTCATTATTTAAATGTTGGGGCTTCACACAGAGACCTATGCTTATTGGTCTTTTATATCTTACCTTACTTCTCTATATTTTAAGGCACCAAAATTTGATGCTTGCAAAGCGTACTTCCAGTATATCGTTTGCTACTTGTCATTTACCTGCCAAACAGTTTTGCCTTGGTGTTCCCATTTGGTTTAGAGTTCAATCAAAATATTTTTCTAAATTTTGTGTAAGTGACAATGATGATGAACAGATTTGACATATTTCTACTTGAGATGGAGATACTCCCCAGTGTTCTTTCTGAGAATGGAACCCTAGTTCCCTTTTTGTTGCAGTTACCAGTAACACTGTACCAAGGATCTCTGATCACACTTGAAATAGCGACGACACATGAGAACTTCTCACTAGGTGGCCATTTACTATGGAATTAAAAAAACTTATTGTGGGTTTGTATTCTGTTTATGACATTCAAGTGTCCAGTAAAGAATGTAGCTGACAGTAGTTTGTTTGTGCATGTTTATTTTTCGTGTTATCATATCTCAATAACCGTTTTGCTTTGAAAGACTGAATTTTGTTGTAATCGACAATTGCAGGATTTGTTTTCGGTTCCCGCGTTATACATACTTGCAGCTATTCTACCTGCCCTTATGGTCACAAGCCTTTATTTTTTCGACCACAGTGTTGCATCTAAGATGTCTCAGCAGAAAGAATTTAACCTAAAAAATCCTTCTGCTTATCACTATGACATTTTGATTCTTGGGTTCATGGTAAATATACATTTCTTGTTTCCATTTTTTTTGCAATCAAACATCATTTTTTCAATGTATTATTCATGATGTACGCGAGCTTCATACCTGCTATCCTGATTTCAGGTTTTGATTTGTGGGCTACTTGGGATCCCTCCTTCAAACGGTGTTCTTCCTCAGTCCCCCATGCACACGAAGAGCCTTTCTGTTCTCAAGAGGCAGGTGTGGAAAAGTTCTGCCTGCAATGATTGCTAGTTTCATACTTTTATTTTGGTTTAGAAATAAAAATGTTTTTTTTTGTTAAAATTTCCAGCTACTTCGGAAGAAGATGGTTGAGACGGCCAAAGAGGGCATGAAGCAACAAGCCACCAACTTAGAAATATATGGTAAAATGCAAGAGGTCTTCATACAAATGGATGACGATGCTACTGAAGTGTTGACACCAAAAACTAAGGTCAATTCTCTTTACGTTTGGATTAGATACTGATTTTGCTATGTGTTAAAGGATATATTGTCAAGACTTTCTATATTGGACTAGTGATAATTAGTGGAGAATATGGCTTTAACTGCTACAGAGCCATACCTTTTTGTTCTATGCCTTCACTCATTTTTCTTTGCTTCCTTGGATTAGGATGTTATTAGCATCTTATGCTCTATCAAAATGTGATTTTAGACATTAGGTTATGTGGTTCAGTGGTTCCTCTAAAGTTTTTCTTACTGTAATTTTGTCCTCGTTTGGTGTATGTACACAAATCAAAACTTGAAAGGTTTAACAACTAGCTCCCATATCTTCTACAGACAGCGGTTATAGGAAAAGAGCTTATGGACTTGAAGAAAGCTGTTGTGAGAGGTGAAAGCAACGGGGAGAAAAAGGATCAATTTGACCCTGAAAAGCATATTGAGGCTTATTTGCCAGTGCGAGTGAATGAGCAGAGGGTAACCAACCTGTTGCAGTCAGTTCTTGTTGGTGTTTGTCTATTAGCCATGCCTGTCATCAAGATGATCCCAACATCTGTTCTCTGGGGGTATTTTGCTTACATGGCGATTGATAGCCTAGGGGGGAACCAATTCTGGGAGAGGCTGTGCATTCTATTCATTACTCCTCGTCGACGATTCAAGTAAGTCCTTGTTGCAGTTTCCTTCTTGAGCAAGTTTCCTAGGGTGAGAATTGCAGTTTTGATGAAAACCGAATTGGGAAAAGTAAATGAGTTGATAATGGTACTCCGTGAGTGGAAATTAAAATGGTTGCCCAATCCCCAAAAGCCAATCCTATATTCATGTTATTGTGGCTAACAATGATGGTGCAGTGGGCTAACAATGATGGTGCAGTGGGCTATCTTTGTTTCTGATACTCGAGATCGGCAACTATTAGCAAACCAAAGCCATGCCCTCATGCAGATACTGCCTTCTCTTATTTGTCTTCCTCTTGCATTCAATAGATGAGATGGTTTGGTCACATGCAACAGAGACCATTAAGTGTATCAATTAGGAGAAGTGAGATTATAATTAATGGAAAAAGGAGGACTAGACCATGGAATTGAATGGAAGAATATGATTCACGTAGCTGACACCAATGTTTGAGGATAAAGGCCTTGTTGTTCTTATTATTGCATTATACAGTACACTAGCCTTTTAATTATCTTATGTAGTAAAGACGCTCATCTTGCTGAAAATAATGAAAACATAGTTTTCCTAAATAGAATGTATATTAATGACATATAATCTTTGGCAGGATTTTAGAAGGCGACCATGCTTCCTTTGTGGAGACCGTGCCCTTCAAGGCAATAGCAGGCTTCACAATCTTCCAATCATTGTATCTTCTCCTGTGTTTCGGTATCACTTGGATACCTATAGCTGGAGTTCTTTTCCCTTTGCCATTTTTTCTTTTGATCAGCATCAGGCAGTACATCCTTCCTAAATTCTTCAACCCCCACGACCTGCAAGAAATGGATGCTGCTGAGTATGAAGAAATCGCTGGAGCTCCTGCTCGTGCACGCTCACTCTCATTCAAACTCTCATTCAAGGTATGCTGTATATTTTTTGACCATAAAATGTATGAGGTTGAATTTCACAAACTGCCATAAATTATTAGGGGTTTTGCGTAAATAAATTATCTAATTGTTTTAATTAGAGAAAATACTATAAAACTTTCAAATCAGCAGAAAAATATCATGTAAAAGAAAAAAAAAACTACCCATGAACTAAAGCACCATGAACATTCATGTATTATTATAAAATTACCAGATAGTTTTCTGATAATATATAGTTCCTGTTGATCTGAAAGTTTGTGGTATTTTCTCCTATGAAATAATATTCCTCACAGATAATAGCCAAAATCCTAAAATATGCAATACTTTAACAATAAATGCTTCAACCTTTTTTGCAGGAAAGGGATTTGTCTGCAGGAACCAGTGATGGAATTGAAACTTGTGATGCTGAAATGTTAGATGAGATCACGACAAGCCGAGGAGAACTTAAGCTCAGAACCAGAAGCTTCAATGATGATAGATTACCCCAGGCAAGATAACTCTTCTTTTCTTGAAGAATTACTAATTTGGATGAACTGTTGAAAAATTCTATATGATGTCTATATTGATGGTTACAGGTGTATCAGGGGAGGCTCTAACTGCGAAGAGATGCAGAGAAATGAATCGATTTCAGAGCGACATTTTGGCCATCCAAAGTGGTAAAAACTAGAAATTTTGTTGGTTTTATACAGGATTCTTGACATGAGAGGCTGCTCGAGTTCCTCAGTTTGCCAGAGATTCATTGGTGGATGTAAATACAGTAAACGATGCATAATGAGGGTGGGAGAGGAAATATGAACAGTTGTACATTAGTTCTCATTCTTTTCCTATTTGTATGGATTTTTGGTGCCTTACTCATTGAGATCAAATTTGAGAGGGATGAGGAAAGTGCAGTATGGTACTCCTGGCTGTAATATATTCACGAGGCGAAGTAATTGCTATTTAGTTGTTTAGTCTACAAGAACTGGTATGCTCACGTCTTTGGTTTCTTATCTTGTGTTTTTCGCATGTACGTGTACGTATACATATGTGAAGTGATTTTAATACACGTATGACTTCTCTAAGATGTCACTAAGATATTCATATTGGTCTGCCGAGATACATGATGTACTAAGATATTCAGATTGGTCTACCGAGATACATGATGTACTATAAAATTGAATTATCCATGCTGTTCAAATAGATCTATATGCTATTGAAAATTTTCCAAACTTCCATACGTTTCTACGGCTTCTTACACTTACGAGTGGTGCAAATTGCGAAGTAAACAATTTTTATATAATTCATCTAAAGGAGCCTCATAATAGACCGGAGGTCATAAAACTAAAGCTTCTTGCATGAAAATAAGAAGAAACACCCTGTGATTGATAAATAAATCCTCGATAGCATTTGACTCCAACAAATTTGAGAGATATATGCAGAAGGATACAATATGCAGAAGGATACAACTGCTATTAAATGTTACGTATAAAAAAAAAAGGTAAGAGTAAAAATTTAATTAGTTAATTAATTGAATAATGAATTACATGGGAAATGCAATCTTATTCACACAAAATTTGCTACACTAGCAAACATAAATATATATAAATTTTCTCAAGTGAAATATGTTTCGCTTTCTTTTGCTTTCTCCCTCAATTTCCCATCTATTGTACATTCTGCACTCGAATGTCCATCCATTGTTCTTGCGGTATACATATGCTTTATGCATGAAAGAAACCTCGACTCAGATTCCTGAATGTAATCTATCTCATTCATGAATGAACTTCCCTGTTCCAATCATCGCTAACTAGAAAAAGCCGATCGCCATCTCTGATAACACCCAACTCGTTTATCTCGGCTCTATCTTGACTGAGAACTTTAGTAGGCAAGAATTCAAATTTCTTCGCTCCAATCTCCAGCAACTCTGTGATCGACCCAGGAAGAAGCACAAGCTTTCCACACCTGTCCTCTTTCTCAGGACAACATATCGTTACTCGGATAGGATTTTGGTCTCCAATGCTTCTGGTACTAAGAGGAGGTGCTGTAGAGAACAGTCCATCACTACCCACATTGACACGAGCTGCTGACATGATCCCAAACAACGAGTTGTCATAATTACTTATCGTTTTCCTTTGATGAACATTACCCCCATTATTCTTAGTTCTTGTTGTATGCCAGACTTCGTGAGCAACATGATGCATTGTTGGCTCGCTGCGATATCTCCCAAAGTGAACTGAGGGAGAAATGTTACGACTAGTCCTAGTGTCCACGTTATCATTCTGACCTCTTTTGCTCTGGAAGAATGCTATAATCTCTTCATGCCCCTGTTGGTCAGCCAGATTACGAGAACTCCAGCCGATGCTGTTGAGCTTATCAATGTCTGCTCCTTGATCAACCAAGAACTTGACCATATTGATGTTTCCTTCAGAAACGGCGAAGTGTAGAGCAGTCGTGCCATCACTCCTAGGTACTGTTACGTCTCCACCATAGTGCACGATGTTTTGTAGTAACTCGAGGTTGTTTTGCTCAGCAGCAATGCATACAAATTGGCCCATATCACTGGAAGAGAGCTTGGCACCGTTGCTCAAGAGAAGCTTGATGGTAGCTTCATGCTTTCCGAGAATGGCTTCCCATAGAGGAACACTTCCTCGGTGATCTGTATGAAGGGAACAGAAATATTGCTCTGTAAATAAACTGTTCCAGAACTAATTTGCTTTGATGATCCACATCATCCATGAAGATCTCTATCCTAAAATGTTTATATGTAAAAATTCATGGGGAACACTCTTATTCATCCAGGATCAAATCATCATATGTTCTACTACTGAAAACCCATTATTTTCAAATCGTTTGCTGCATGATTAAAAAACATCAAAAGTGAATGTGTTTTAGACCATAAGAGTACTTTAGGTATGTTAGGATAATTTAAACACAGAACCAGGAAATAGAGAGACAATCACAAACACAATATTTACGTGGTTC